TTCGCTCGGTTCGAACTTGACAAGTGAATTATAGGCTAATATCTTAATGGAAGTGTTGGACCCTTCCTTTATTTGTTTCCAAAAAGTTTATGACAAAAAAAGTTTACGACATCTTTGTTGGCATCATTAATAAGTTAGTCAAACGACTAGTTAATGACTTATGTCATTGACCATGATATTATCTTGAGAAATTCTCAGCTAATGTTCCAAATGCAATATCTTCTTGGAAAATGGAAGGTTTTGAGTCCATTTGTTATATTCATAAAATATCATTGCATATTTTGTATTTGTACTTTTAAGTTAACCTATCATCGCTTGGCTCTAAAATGATCAAGCTTTTTTATTGCATTGAAAACTCTATGAAGTTTATAATTTTTAGATTGATTGTATTATCGAAGATTAAAATTTGCATAGAGGGACATCATTTAAAACATGTGTCTTGTGTCTAGTCTTGATTCTTGTCAGACGATTTTTTTGTCCACCGAAGGAATATTTGCACTGCGGGAAATAATTACTTAGCTTCTATTGAAATGTACAAAAGATCAGAACAAAATTTTTAGATTGATGTCTTGTAAAAATGCCTTTTAAGGAGAACTTTTTTATTGCATTTGGTAATTATTATATTTAATTTGAATGTTGATTTTTTTGAAAAAAAATAAAAAATTTTTTTATAGAGATGTAACTTTGTTTGAATAATAGTAGATAGACTGGATTTGTAACCCCAAAATTCGTTTTTATATTGATCGAACTGGGCAAATGAAGCTTGTACTTTATTTGTTCTTTCAGCTTCACAATTTTATATATTATTGATCTATCATTTAAGTTAAAATCATATAGAATCTTTTATCTTTCTTACTTTTCGTGTCGGATCTAAATGTGTTAATTTTAGTGGACGAAAAAAAATATTTTTCAATTGTATTGTTTTTGTTTTTGTTTTTTTTATATCAAATCTAATATATTTAATATTGAGTTAGATATTATAGAATCGTAAAAAAAATGATTTTAAATCTTTATATTATGTAGATCTTATTATTAACACGATGCTAGATTGAATGTTATAATTCATGTGAGATATTTTATTGTTCCTTTTTTTTTTTGTGGGAACTCTTCTCAATAAAAACTCATCAACATTCATAATAAACTTAAATCGATGTCATTTTCTTTTAAACATAGAATATTGAATTGGAAAAATGAATTTGACTAGGACAAACAGCTTGTATAAAATTTAATTTCTATTATTTTATTTTCTGCTTTTATTTATTTTATAATTTTAGATCGAATTGCTTAAATTATATATTATGCACAAGTGAAAATGACAGTATTGTGTTTGTGGGCCCCTCCTGGAAACATTCACCTACTCCCCCACTGAAAGGCGGGAAAGCAGTTGCCCTTGTTCACGAGACGACACCGTTTTAACAATAATAACATTACTGTACTTTCTGCAGTTTTACTACAAAAGAATCATTTGAAAACAAGTGTCTAGCTAAAAATATATATATTTATTTTAGAATAATTTTTTTTTTTTTTCTGAAAAAATATACTTCCTCTGTTCCGAAATTATAGTCTTGGTTGTGTTTGGCACATGATTTAAAGAATATTGATATTATATTGATAGTGGATAAAAAGTATAGGTAAAAATCATTTTTACTCTTACGAGTATATTAGTGTAAAAGATATGGGCAATTGTAAAAGTAATAATGAAAGAGTAAGGATACTTATATAGGTGATATGGTTATTTATGGAAATAAGACTATTATTTTGGGACGAACAAAAATAGTAAACAAGACTATTGTATTGAGACGAAGAGAGTACTATATTCGTACTATTTTTACTATTTTCGTTCGTCTCACTCCAAAATATCACATTTCTATTTTAGCAAAAGGAATCATACATTAATACCAAAATATCTTTAATTTTACCTAAATTACAAACGTACAACTACACATACAATTATTTTTTACATAAAATCAAATGATAAAAATATCAAAATTTCTTACACACTTCCACTAATTAATAAAATATTATTATTTTTTAATCTATTATAAAATTGGTAAGAACCCTTTAAATTGGAACAAAAAAAGTATGTATATCTGATTTATTTTATTTTATTTTATTTTTTGACATTGTAGAATGGTCCAAGACACAATAATGGCATAATCATTTTCACCGAATCCATATATGTATCTCATGGCTCTGTAAAGCTTTTCAACTTTTATTTCTCCAACCCTTTTGTGACGCTATAAATCAACTTTTTATTTTATTTTATTTTTACTAGGAGTTAGAGTCGTGAGAGTCAATGGTTTGAAAAGTTTAAAAAGCTGATTCATTGATTTTCTTATTTATGTATTTTATTTGTTATTCGACAAAATATTTATTTTTTTATTTCAATTCGTCTGATAACAGAAGTATTCATTTTAATTTTTAGTAATCGTACAATCAATCTAATATTGCAAATATATTTTTAATTTATAATATATTATACAAATGTTATTACATTTATATTATACTTTATAAATAAAGTTAGTTTAATTTTTTTTTTTTTATTTCTACTATATTCCCGTGTAATATTAATCTTTCTAAAATTTTGTCTTTTTTTTTTTATATCTATAATATAATTGATGATTAGCATCAAGTTTTCTACAAATATATACTCCTTCAATCCAAATTCACTTTATTACTTTTATTATTTTTATTCATCCGATTAAAAAATATATGTTTTCTGTTATATTGAAAATAAGTAATATAGAAATACCAAAATACTTATAATTTTTACAAATATATATGTATTTTTTTATTTATAAGAAAAAATATCATCTTAAACACTTATACTAATAAAAAAAATATTATTATTTTTTAATCAACTAAATAAAATACCAAAAGTAAACGGATGCATTCAGTCAGCACACTGATAAAATGTAATACTCCATCCGCCGCGTTGGAAGGGTGGTGTTTGCTTTTTGCTCATAGATTTTTTAATGTTAGTATTATATTGGATTGTAGTAAAAATAAAAATATCCCTATTAGTATGGTGTAATATAAAAGTATAATATATTGTAAGTTGAAATGGTATTTATTATGTGAAGTAAGTAGTACAATTACTAAATTATGAAATGATAACCTTGTTTTGAAACAGACGAAAATGAAAAATTATAACATTTGAATGGGACGGAGAGAGTATTATCTTTTATCTTCTTCATAATTATGTAGGTTTGGGTGGGGTAACTAAAAAAAAACTAGTGACAAATTAGTTATTATTAACAGTAAAACTAATAAAATTATAAATGAATTGTACATAATTTAAATGGATGACAAAAAGAAATAATGACAAACAGTGAGAGTACTATTCATTTTGTACTATTCTCAATAAAATTATATTATTTTTTTTATAAAATATTACATCAAAATTTTAATTAAGCAAAAATTTAATTTATCACCACAATTTCAAATAAAAAACAAACGAACTTAGAATATTTAGGTTATTTTCTCTAAGTCTTTTATTTTTTTTATATTTTATTAACAATCCAATTTCTATGTGGAATAATAATATGATTATTTTCTTCTAAGTCTTTTTTTTTTTCCAAATTTTTTATTAATTTTTTTTCAACGTGGAATAAGAATATTTAGGCTATTTTCTTTTTAAGTCTTTTTTTTTTCACTATATATTCAATAGAAAAATATATTTTTAAGTTTTTTTTTTTTAAATTTTTTATCAAATAGTTTTATGTTCAATAATAAACATATTTTTAGAGAAAGTCACACTAAATACTTAAGTATTTTTTTTTTTAATTGATGTGTATATACTATTTTATGTGATTGGATATATTATTTGTTAATTTGCATTATGTTGTTTCAATTATGCTAATAATATATTGTTATGGAATATGCAAGTTTTTATTTACAACTTTTATTTATTTTTATATTCTATATAATTATATACTATGTTAAATATATATATATATATTTATACCAGTTTAAAATAAATAATATGTTGAATGTTATTACCACTGTGCTAAATATTAACTATAATAAGCACTATATATTACATATAATAAGCCCTAAATCCTCTCCAGTATATATATATATATATTCAGAATTAGTGTTTGTTTGATTTTATTTCAAATAAAAAAAAAAATATACTACTATTCAATTCATATAATTTTCAATATAAATATATTATTTTTTTCTAAATTATTAAATTAAAATACTATTTAAATATAAATACAAATTAATACCTCGTTCCAAATCAATTTGAAACCATAATAGCTCTTTTGAAAATTTTATTTTCATGAAATTATCTTCACTATATAATAACATTTGTATTAGTGTTCATTTCTGTTTTATATGTACTTTTACATTATATACTATACAATATACAATAAAATTATTTTAAATAAAAATCCTATATTTAAAATATATTTTTATTCAATGAATTAAATATAAATATTCACAACCAAAAAGGAAAAAAAAAAATCCAACTTGGTTTGGGAGTTAGTGTTATGTTTTGAATATGAATTATTTATGTAATATAAATAGTTCGTCGTCTTATGATATTATAAATGTAAAATTATTTTTTAATTAAATACAAAAATAATTAAAAATCACAAACTAACAGAACCTAAATTACCATTAGCAAGAATAATAATAATAATAATAATAATAATTTGTGGACAGGACAAATAACTAAACTAATATTTGTCATTGTCATATTGCAGTTTATGCATTATGATTTTCGAATAAACACACTTCCCAATTCCCACAGAATGTAACCTCTTAGAATTATATAAATTTAATCAATAACATTAAATCCAATCAGGGCAACACCTAATCAATTATTCTGGCAACCAAATGCCCCTATCTATATTCAATAAAATATATAAATAAATAAATAATATTCCTATAAAGTGAGGGGTGGGTAGGGGGTGGGGGGGGCAGTGGTCCATCTGAGTCTATGGCTGACCGACTTTAGAGAAGCAGCAGCCCTCGAAGATAAGGTCTGTGAGAGAGAGAGAGAGAGAAAGAAATAGAGAGAGAAATACATAGACAAGAAAGAAAATATTCTCCATTACAATTCATGGCATTTGGTAGTTCTTTCATCCAACAAAAGCATGCAAGAAATCGAAACCCCAGATGTCTCCTCTTCTTGTAATAACTCCATTTTCTATCCCTTTTCTCTCTTCTTCTGCAATTTGTTAATTTTCAGGTACAAAACCTCAAAATCCATAATTTTTTTTTTTTTTTTTTTAAAGAAGTTTCTTGCTAAGCTATAAACTTAAGCCAAGCACTTCGAATTCGATCGATCTGTTTCTTCATCAATTCAATCGAAGAAGATGATGTCCAACAACGGGTTTCCCCTAATTTCCCCGTCGGGTTTAATCCAAGATCCCAATTCAAATCCCAATTTAAATCCCAATTTCAGCAGTTTTACAGAAAACCCTAATCCCAATCCAAACCCTAACCCAAATCAATCGTCGAAGAGGAAAAGGAATCTCCCAGGAACGCCAGGTAAGCTCCCAAATTCCAGAAACCCTAATTCAATTATTGTTTTTGATTTAATTAATGTTGTGAGAGTTTTGCAGATCCAGATGCAGAAGTGATAGCTCTCTCTCCAAAGTCTCTAATGGCGACCAACAGATTCATCTGCGAAATCTGCAACAAGGGTTTCCAGCGCGACCAGAATCTGCAACTACACAGACGTGGCCACAATCTGCCATGGAAGCTGAAGCAAAGGAGCAACAAGGAAGTGGTGAAGAAGAAGGTCTACATTTGTCCAGAAAAGACATGCGTCCATCACGACCCCGCAAGAGCCCTCGGAGATCTGACAGGAATCAAGAAACATTTCAGCAGAAAACATGGCGAGAAGAAATGGAAGTGCGATAAATGCTCGAAGAAATACGCTGTCCAGTCTGACTGGAAAGCCCACACCAAGATTTGCGGAACCAGAGAGTATAAATGCGACTGCGGCACTCTCTTCTCCAGGTAAAAACTAATCGAACTTCATTAATTACCGACATGATCATGATCCTAGGATGTAATCAAAAGCCCCGATTTTTATTACAGAAAGGACAGCTTCATTACGCATAGGGCTTTCTGCGATGCACTGGCGGAAGAGAGTGGGAGATTAAATCCAATTCCGCCATTGAATCTGAGCTTCAGAAACGATCGTCTGCAATTACAAAACCCCCAATTCATGTATGGAGGAGACAGCAATCATCATCAAGAACAGATGAATTTGGAATTGCAGGCAGGAAGACTCCCAATGTGGCTCGACAATTCAGGCTCTTCGTCCCACAATTTCGTCACAACCCTGCCTGAATTAGTGACGACCCACTGGTTCGCTACCCGACAAGAAGCTGCACCAGAGAATAATAATAATAATAATATTATTATAAACAATAATAATAATAATAATATTAATATTATAAACCCATCATCGTCGTCATCAGCAGGAGCAGGAGCTTCAACATCAGCAATGCCAAGAGTGGTATTAAAAGAGGAGCAAGAAAGCAAAGCCAGTTTGTCCGAAGCCATAACTTCACTTTATTACAACAACAATTCTTCTTCTTCTTCTGCAGCAGCAGCAGCAGCTCCAATGTCTGCAACAGCATTGTTGCAGAAAGCAGCCCAGATAGGTTCTACCAGAGGCACTTCATCTCCCTTATTCGGCTTCGGCTTGATGACGTCATCCAATTTCTTCAACGACGACCCAATCCTCGTCGGAGAAATTCAGAACAAGCAAATTAGCCAAGCCGAGAGTAGCCTGACCAGAGACTTCCTAGGAGTCGGCGGCAGCCATGAAAACGAGCTTGCCAAATTCGCTTCGACAATGGACATGGCCCATTACAGCAGGAATCACTGAGGCTGTAATAAAAATTTTGAATTCGATTTTTTTCTTTAAAGAAATTGTAGAACCAGAAAAGATCGATCTTGTGAAGTGTCAGAGGGTACACTGCAATCTGGTAGAGACGTGACAGAATGGTGAGGTTGGGAATCACAAGGGAGGCCAGAAATTCTTGTTACTGCATGTAGAAACGAGTTCAATTTCTAGGGTTTGATTATATATATATATATATGTATGTATTTTGTATGTATATCTGTTATTGGACCACCATGTTACTGTTTGCCTGTGATTCATTGGGGTCAGTACTGAACTGATGATAATATCATGCATGTGGATTTTGTTTTCAAATTTTTTTTTTAATTTTTTTTTAAAAAAATAGTGTTTGTTTTCATGTGTGGATTAGAATCAAAATTTGAATTTTAAATTAACGTTTCAAGTTTTGTTTGTAGTTTTGTAGCTTTAGTAGATTCTTTGAGGAAGTTTATATTCAAATAATTTTAATCTTATTTTCGGTCTATCTATGTTTATATATATATATCAGCATATACTTACTATATTATAAACATGTTAAGATATATGCTGATTATTTGAAATGAGCACTCATTTTTTTTAAGGTTAATTATTTAATTCACTTTTTATATTTTATGAAATTTCAAAGTTATATATTATCTAGATAGATTCAAATAAAAAGGAACTAATATAATAAATATAACAAAAAATTAATAATGACATTATAAACTAAAATAATTATAGAAATTTAAATTAAATCATAAACTAAATATTAAAATATATTTAAAATAAAATAACCCTATTTATTATTTTAACATTATCACATGGAAACAATAAATCATAAAGAAATATGATTTTTTTTATTTTATCTCATAGTAAAATTTATGGGGAGATTTCATGAGGTATATTTCTTTAAATTTTGAATTTGGACTCGAAATTTGAAAATAATAAAAATTAAAATTAAAAATACTATTTGATAATTTTATAAATATGTATTTTCTGAGAATTTTTAAATAAACATTTAATCTTTTTGTAATATAACAATAATAAATAAAAAATAAGTATTTCATTCAATCGTTTTTTCGGGATTCCTTTTTTCGAGCAATATGAAACCAAAACCCGACACTCTGAGATACATACCGATAATGTTTTTTTCGATTTCTTTCTCAAGATTTGTTTTAATTTAAAATATTTAAAATATATATATATATTAGCAGACAAGTGCATGTTACATGCCATACTTCATACGTTCATATGTGTGATTACAATTTATGTTTCCAAATCTATCTATTGATTAATAATTATATAATAAAGTTATTTTGTGTACTAGCATTTTAGCTGTAAGAGGAATTACTTGTGAAATGACAATAGATAACATGCCCTGGTTCCAAACAGTTGCAGATAGGGGTGAGCATTCGGATTTTGCCAAATCCGAACCGATTCCAAAAATTCAAAATTTTTAAAAAAATCAATCCGAACCGAATCGAAATAACCAAAATCCGAAAATCCAAAATTTGAACTAAAAAATCCGAACCAAACCGAAAAATCCAAAATTTTAAATATTTTAAATTATTTTTTTAATTTGTAAATTTCTTGTATATTTTATAATATTAAATATATATATATATAATATATAAAAGTAAATATATTAAAATATAATTAATAAGTTTGAGTTTTTTTATATTAAAATATAATATTTTCTAATAAAATATTAAATATATATATTAAAATATTATATTTCGGATTTCGGATTGGTTCGGATTTGAAGTATACCAATCCGATCCGATCCGAAAATCTGAAATTTGTCAAAAATTCAATCCGAACCAATCCGAAAAATCCGAACCAAATTTTAAATTTCGATTTGATTTGGATTGGATTTTCGGATTTCGAATATTTTGCTCACCCCTAATTGCAGACATATAATACTAGGGTTTTGTTATTTTGGGTTTTAATTACAAAATTCTACAAGTAGAACAGCAGTGGCATGTGATATTTTGTATTAAAAAATGATGTTGAAGGTAACATTTTTAGAAAAATAAATATAAATAAAATTTAGATTTATTAGACTTTCAAGAATCAATTGCTCATTTCAAATCTTATTTTTAAAAGTTGAGGATGAAGCAACTTAAATCATGAATATAATACCTAATATAGGGTTTACTTTATCCACTATTTTTATTTTTTTTTTAAACAAAAAACTATACGTTTTTATTTATTCAGTTATAGAAAATGACTCTTTAATTTGCACAATTCAACATTGATTTATTTATAAATATATCATAACTAATTATACATTGAATTTATTAAAAAATATAAAATTCACCTTATTAACTTATTTATATATTTCCAAAAATACATATACCTTATGTCATAATCAAACTCGTATAATATTATATTTATTAAAAAACTCTCCTGTTCAACCCAAACAAACTTGAGTCAGTTCACTCAACATTTCTTAATAGAACAATTTTTCATAAATATTATTAAAAAAAACAAATATACACACACATTACTATAACATATATTATCCACTCGTAAAAAAATAACTAATCAAAACAAAATATTATTTTCTATATTATTAACACATTTCACATACCACACACAAAAAATCTATTCATCTAAAAACACTGAGTGAACAGTAAGCGGATGAAGTAACTCATTTAAGTCGCAACTCAAATTATTATGTAGGGGTATTTTCATCTACAAATTTTCATTATTACTTTGGCCGTACTTAAAATTATCTATCTCAAATCAAATATTTTAAGGTGTGCTTGTTTTGGGAGATTTTTCTCTAAATTTATTATTCATTTAATTTTTTTCTTCTAAAAAATCAAATCAAACATTTATTTTTTATTTTTTATATTATAGTAAAAATTAATTTTACATTCAAAGTATCACATCAACACCTATTTATATTACATCGTACAATTATTTCAATCCAAATTCCAACTCAAAATCCAAACCCTCAAACAAACACACCCCTAATTGCATGTTAAACTAGTGTCGTATGTGCGCGATAATTACATTCGTTCCTCCAAATAAATACACAAAACTCGTAAAAAAAATAATAAAAATCCAATGAATTACCATAAAGTATGGATAAATTCACAATCTATGTGAAGAAAATATTCAATTTTTTTTTTTTTTTACTTCAACAACACACATCATTCATTCTTCTAGGTCAATTTCAGCTTCATTCTTTGGGACATCTTTCACACACTTTGTTGTAATGAAATAGTATTTGATGTTTATTTGATAAAAACTCTACAAAATAGGCCCTCCACCCCCAACCCTCTTTATAGGCATGCAAACCAAATAAAATCTATTATTGACATGTGATCTTGTATAATTTTGCTAGATTCAATTTTGGGAAGGAATTGATTGATTCCCATATCGATCGATCTTGATTCTTCCCGTATTCAATATAAAATCTTTCACATTCTTCGAATCAAAATTATACACATAAGATTTTCAAATTTTATCTTTTACTTCAATTAGTTTGGTTGCGCTACATCGTGATTTGATAGGACGAGGAGATGTATGTAAACTTAGGGTGCATTCACTAAATGAGATTATTATTTTATTTGACTTAAAATCATATTTGTTTTAATGTATTCGAACCATATATAATTAAATATTGAATATAATAATAGTAATTTATATGATTATTAATACAATCGAACAACTTAGTATTATTTAATGTTACTTTATAAAATATTTAAATTATTCTTCCTTTTAGACACTTAAAAGTATTTTATATAAATATAATAACATTCTTTTTGTTTGATATATTTTGATTTCAATTGAAATATAATTTATTTATTCATGTTTAAAATTTTAATCAATAAAATATAAAGTGATAAGAATGATAGTATAAAATATATTACTAAAACTTAATTTATAATTTTAAATATAAAATTAAATATATTTAATAAATAATAAAAAATCAAATTATATATATGACATAACAATATTACAATTAAATTTTAATATATTATTGTCTTAAAGCATCCGTTACAATATTCTCTACAACATTACCTTTTTTTATATATCTCATCCACATTATATCCATGTTATTATTCAAATTACTTATTTAATACTCATTATAGTATCATTACTTTTACCTATTACCTTTACAATTTTATAAAATTCATCATAATTATTTATATTTATATATTTTTATTATCTAATAATATCTAAATAATATTTATTATGTAATATTACATTTTATTTTTGAAATATTAATTTTTATAAACTATAATAATATTATATAAATTTTGATATTAAGAAAAATTAAAATTACTCAAATTTGTAAAATTAATGACATTTAAAAATCTGAATGATTGAAATAAACTCGGATTAATATATTCCTCGAATAATTTTACATTTCCGATATTTTAGTTAAAGAAAGATTGAATATAAAAATTTTAAATGTTAAAATAACTTTTATTGAAAAATACGTAGGTGAGTGGTGATCTTTTGAAATAAAGTTGAATTCGTATTTGTACAGATAAATATTGATAATTTTAAATTTTAAAATTTATATTTTAAGTCATAATTAATTAAACAATTATTTATTTATTATTTTTATAGAAGTAATGAGTTCTTAATAAAGGTAATAAATTAGTATTAACTGTATTTCTTAATAGATGTAACACATCTCCTTATAATAAAAATTAAGAAGATAATAAAAAATGTAACAAAGAAAATAATTATAACGAATGCTATTAATTATGATACTATAATTACAAAGAAAAAACTGTACAAAATTTAAAAAAAAAAATAAAAAATAAAAATAAAAATAAAAAAATAAGAAAGAAGACTGGAGCAAGTCAAAGCCTATGTCAGCCCAATACTAAGGATCTGTACACACGATGGAGGATTGTCTATATTAATTAAGTTTTTTAATAATATATTTGGCAATCTTCAATCCATTACTTTATTTTTATTTTTACAGTAATTAGAGTAAAAATGCAATTGTGCAGTAACTATAGTAAAACTGCAGTTGGTCTATAGTAATTTTACTCCGATCATAAATTTCGATTTTTACTTTAAAAAGTATATTTCCTACATATTTTGTTTTATATTATTTTATATAATTTTTTATATTTATAAATTACATCCTAATTTTAATTTGCTTTTACATTATCACTACAAAATATATAATTCATATTTTATTTATAAAATTATATATCACTTTATAAAAAATAAAGTATATATTATTTTTTTAAAAAAAGATAAATTTACATACTCCCTCCGTTCGGGTCCAAATGAGCCATTTGGGGTTTTTTAGTAGATTAAAAAATAATAATATTTTATTAGTTAGTAGAAGTGTGTAAGAAGTTTTGACATATTTGTCCTTTAACTTTATGTAAAAAAGTAATTGTACATGTAATGATATGCTTGTAATTTAAG